ATAGTTGAAATTTCGTCTAAAGTAATGGGATATTCAAAATCAACTGTATATAACATTTTGAAAGAGGAAAAATCAGCTGTATAACCCCACTCAAACCGAAAACAGGAAAGCACTAATTTTTTTTAACAAACAAATACCAACTTCAGATAAAATTTTACAAGCCATTATCGATGATCCTGATTTACCCACAATAAGTAGAGACAAACTTTAGAAAGTTCTGCATGGAGTTAAACTTTAAGTATGAAAAAGTTGGCAGACAGTCAATGCTTATCGATTACAAAGAAATTGTGTATTGAAGACGAGACTACCTCAGAAAAGTAAAAAAAATGAAGACAGAAAATAAAAACGTTTATTATTTAGACGAAACGTGGGTTAATGAAGGGCATACTGTAGGAAGAGTTTGGAAAGACAAAACTACAAAAACATTTCCGACAAGCATTTCTGGAAGGATATTCAACTGGTTTCAAGGAAACAACAGGTAAAGGTCAACGATTAATTGTTACCCATATAGGTAGTATGAATGGATTTATTAAGGAGGGTTTGCTTTTGTCTGAATCAAAAAAGACCTGCGATTATCACGAAGAGATGAACAGAGACGTGTTTGAATAATATTTTGAACAGATGATTGAATTCATACCTAAAAATTCGGTTATTGTGATGGACAATGCAAGTTACCACTCTAGATTAGTTGAACGTTTACCAACTACTCAAGGAGGAAAGATGAAATTGCAATGTGATTAACTTCTAAAAATTTAATCTTTGACGATACAATGACAAAAGCAGAATTATTAGAGCTTGATAAAATACATAAACAAAATTATAAAAAATATGTCATTGAGGAGGTAGAGAAAAAACGAGGAATTGAAATACTTCGCCTACCAACGTATCATTGCGAGCTAAATCCGATTGAGTTAGTATGGGCCGAAGTTAAAGGTAACGTTGCTCGAACTTATACAACTTTTAAATTGTCAGATGCTACTAATCTTTTTTATAAATCAATATCCGAAGGAACGACTGAACATTGGCAAAAATGTATTAATCACGTTATGGATATTGAGAAAAATATGTGGGAACTTGATCATATAATAGATAGGCAACTATAGAACCTATGATAATTCATCCCGGATCGGATAACACTTCGTCTGAAACAGAATATGAGGAAGCCCAACTTTAAACTGTAGCTCAGAAGTTTATTTTACATTTGAACTAATTGCCGACAACTTCGTTGTTTATTTTTTATTTATTTTAATAATAATATTATTAGTAATAAGAATATTATTATTTATTAATAGGAATATATAAAAACTTACAGTTTTTGTGTATGTATTTTACGTTTCAGTATAATTTATTGTATTTTATTATTTTATATTAACTGTATGTTTCACAATTAATAGAATTTTTATTCTTTTTATGTGTATCTTTTTATTTTATACCAGTATTGGATTGGATTAATTTCTTTGTTCTAAATATCTAAATAAATTTAACGCAAACTTTGCTTTTAAGATTACGTTTTAGTTAGAAGATGTACACTCCTATGTATTTCGAGGTTAGTATGGTTAGTAGAGCTTAGAATTTACGCCAACTTATTTTTCAAATATACTATAGCTGCTCAAATGATCCAATTTACCTCTACAATCCATTTTGTAGTGTATGCCACTAAGGTCCTTCTGCATGCCAATAAAGATTACAGAAAATTTTAAATTAATGAAGAAAAGGACTTGATTGAAATCGATAAGTGGCTTAAATATCACAATTTAACTGCAATTAATTTTCTGGCGTGAATCAAGAAGACGAGGAGAAGAGAAGAGTAAGAATTTACTATGGTACGGATTTCTACTAATATTTCCCAAGCTACCCTCGTATAAGCGATAAATATTTTTGTCTTATAGAGAAATGAAATAATTACATTATTTCTCGAGATGATAATATGTTTTAGCCATTTGTTTCTGGGAAAAATGAAGACTTTAAGGTGAAAGGATAGTAAAAAGTGGTTTGGTACAAGTGATTGCTACTGATTTATTTCACTTTTCTTGCAAAACAGTTAATGTCGTTAATAAACCTAATAGATTGTCGATATAATTATATTAAATAATTAGATAATATGACGGACGTGGTTCTTTAATATAAAATTTAAATTATGGATATAGAAATTTATGCTATTAATGAGCTTAATTTAATATACAACAAACACGCTTCATATAAAATCTCTGATGATTGTAATTAACATATCAAGGAATTTTTTTCTAATCCTTAACTTATTTTCTTTCCTTTCCGAACTATAGTACAAACTGAAAAAGTAAATGTTTTCTATTTGTCTTATGAGCATACCATTTCTGTTTTTTGGGATTCACATATTTAAAAATAGTGTCGCCAATTTTTTAAAACAATAATTGCTCTTTTTCTTTTCTTTTTTCCCTACTTTCCTAAACCGCCCAAATATCTACAACTAAGCAACGGTGAATATCTTTCGCTTAGTTCTTTCATCCATTTTTATTCTTAGTTCCATCGTTTTGACTTTGTCTCTTGGATAAAGCAATGTGAACAGTCCTTATTTTAAGCGCATCCACGATTATAATAACTCTTATAAAAACCCCGCCTAGAATGACTGTTGGCTGGATCGAGTAGCTTAACAGTCTTTCTTGCCGGTCCCAAGCCCGGATAAAGGAGGAGGGTTAAGCGGAAGGCCAACAACCGGCCCTTATAAAAAACAGTCTGTTATGAAAACTGCAAGTTTGCCTTGGAATCAAACAGATACATATGGAAAACGACAAGGACTTTGAATGTTGGAACGGGGAACGGACGGGAACATCTATACATGCAATAAAACAGTTAGAAAAAGTAGGAATGGACATTACGGCAATACAAGAACTAAGGTGGCTAGACAAGGGAAACATAAAAATAGACAAGACGGTCAGTTTCTACAGTGAAAACCAGATAGGAAAACACGAACTTGGCACAGTACGAGAAGAATACCTGAACAGTATTATAAGTTTCACGCTCATTAGTAAAAGACTTTGTTATATTAAAAAAAAGAGGTTAATCTTTGTAACTTGGTATATTTAAAAACCCTTAAAAGGTCTACATCAAAAAACACACGAACGTTTTCGGAATGACAATTCCATCATCAGGTTTAAAAAAACACCTAAAATAAGTATAAACCATTTAGTTAAAGAAAACGTGGTTTAAAATTTTGACTAAGGTTAAAAAGCAAAAATGGTTATACTTATTAGGTTGACATGCCTGAGTCACCAAAATATTTGGGCAAAAACCCGTTAAAATAAATGTAGTTACAAAATATTGTACATAATGTTGTTTTAAATATGTGATGTTTGATATTAAGTTAAATTTGGCTTCAGGTAACATACACCCACGCATACACCCATGGTTTAGGGTGAGTTCCAGTGTCTGGAGAGTAAACCTCTTCAAACGGACTACAGTTGGTAACTGATTGACAAGATACCTATGAACGGTGTCGAAAACAAAATGTCAATGTAACATGAAACTATATTAGTTATATATAGTATTACTACAGCCAAAAGATTCAAAAAATTTTTGATGATGTTAAAAAAATAATAACAGCAATCCAGGTGTTGGGATTTAAAAACTTTTTATTTATTTAATTTTGAATATAAAAGAAGTGAAATTATCGATGGTGTTAAAGTTCATGTTTAAGAGGATGACATGTTTATTAGGCAACCTATGTTACTCTTTGTCGTATGGAGTGTGGTCTGAAAAGTGTAATTTGTATTAGATTAGCTTAGATATATGTAAATGTCCTTTTATGTTTATCACAATTAGGGCAAGGTAAAATTGAATAGTATATATTTGAAGCTAATATAAGACCTTGTATTTAAATGACATTGTTTAAGACTGATCGTATGGTGAAAAAGTTGATAAAAGTAAGTCTAATAAATTGAAAAAGGGGTTAGAAATCGTCCGGCTGAAGAAATTAAAGAAAACTATGCAACTTCACGCCGAGAAACAAGAAAACTAATTAGAGAGAGGAAAAAAAGGAAGTACAAACAACAGAAATATATAATTACACTTATATGGAACGAAGAGAAAATACTAACAAAATGACACGAAAGTGTAATAATCCCTTTGCATAAAAAGGGAGATGTTCATCCTATTAAGTAGGCTGACACCATTTGTACAAAATTTCATGGGGGAATACCAAGCCGGCTTCAGAAAACATAGATCAACCATAGATCAGATCTTTACTCTAAGACAGCTGCTTGAAAAAGGATGGGAATTCAATAGAACTATCCATAATCTCTTCGTAGATTTCCGACAAGCTTACGACAGTATTAAAATGGATCAGATGTGGAATGCAATGGCAGAACTTTCAGTTCCAAAAAAAACTTATCCAGCTGGTTAAGTTATATGTGAACATCAAAGATTAGAATACATAAAACGGTGATTAGACCGATGTTCATGTATGGGCGTGAGACGTGGACCCTTACCAAAGAAACTGAAAGAAAACTTAGATGTTTTTCGAGGAAAATTCTCCGGCGAATCTTTGGGCCATATCACGACATTAATAGCAATCAATGCCGAATGAGAACAAATGCTGAGGTCAAGCAGATGTATAGAGTGAGCGACATAGTCCAAGAGATTAAATCCCAACGTCTAAGATAGACTCCCTAATAACCGCCTTACCAAGTTAGTATAGGAGGAAGCCCCCACAGGAAGAAGGCCCTTAGGACGTCCACGAATGCGATGGAGAGACAATATATGGTCAGATCTAAGAACAATAGGGATACCCACTGAACCAACTATTATGGACGACCATTCAAGATGGAAGCAAGTGGTGCAGTCAGCCAAGACCCACACCAGATTATAGAGCTACGAAACGAAGAAGACTATTATAAGATTTTGATTTTACTAGCCTATAATGCATTAAATTTTTGAAGATATCAATTTTTATAGTAGTCTTCTCTAGAGGAGTCTAGAAAAAAACCGAAATTTTTGGAAATATTAAAGAATATGAAATATCTAACCTTGATTATCTCTTGCTGTGTTTGCTGTAAGTTTCTTGGTTGTCCTCTAGATGTCACCACAGCAGCTGGTTGCACTAGTGGCGGTGGTGGCGGTGGAGGAGCAGAATATCTTGTCCTTGTGTCTTCTCTCTCTTTATCCTTTTCTCTTTCTCGGCCTCGGTCTTTACTTCTTGCAGGTGGGCTATAAGATGAGTAGGAAGCTGGAGCGCCAGATACTGAGACGTCTAATCCGTCGCATCCTACGTTTCTCGGCCAGTCACAAGTTTGGAGTTCGTGACTAAAACAAGATTTAATAAATTAATAAAATCAATAAGGTGGGTAATCAAATTGATCAAAAATGCATCATCAATCGAAATGTTTAACAACTTTTAACAAACCTTTGACATTTGGCGATGATGACAGATAATAATCAGTAATCTGTATTAGGCCAAACAGCAAAAATTAGGAAAAACAGTCAAGTGAACGAAGAAGTTGTGATAAAGACAGATTTTTTAATATCTACTCATAAAAGATATTTAAAGCAGCACTGAAAAACATATATAAGGGTCTACTGATAAATAGAGAATATCTGAATAATTTCAGATATGCAGACGACACAATAATATTTACCAATAGCATGCAAGGTTTACATTTACTTAGGGAGCAGAAACGAGTCAAGAATGTTGCGAATATAGTGTGAACTTAAACACTAAAATAACAAAGTTTATGATCGTTAGTAAAAAACATACACCGCCACAACAATTAAGAATTAATAATTAATTCACCGTTAATAACACAGGTTAACAGCTACTATGGGTAACCATTTTTTTTATAGCTCTTTTTCTACCCGAATTGTCGAATAAAGGCCTCTCCCACTTCTCGCCATTCATCCCTGTTGTGTGCTAGGCGTTTCCACATTGGTCCTGCGACTCTTTTGATATCGTCGCTCCAGCGCATTTGAGGTCTTCCTCTTGGTCTCTTTGCATCGTATGGTCGCCAGTTTCCGACTTCTTTGTTCCATCTACCATCTTCCAGACGTTCGTTGTGTCCAGCCCATTTCCATTTTAATTTAGCTGCTTGTTTCGCGGCGTTCTTTACTTTTGTTTTGTTCCGGATTGCTTCGTTCGTTTGCCGATCTAAAAAATTAGTGGGATACCAAGCATTTGTCGTTCTATGGCTCGCTGAATTTTTCGAATCTTGTCCATGTTCTTTTTTGTGAATGTCCAGGTTGAGCTCCGTAAGTGAGAACGGGAAGGATACAAGAATCGAACACTTTAGTTCGGAGGTTTTGGGGTATCTTTTTGTCTTTCAGTATGTATGAGAGTTTTCCAAATGCGGCCCATCCCATTCTTACTCGTCTGCTTATTTCGTTAGTTTGGTTTTCTTTGTTTACCTTGATATTCTGACCCAGATATATGTATTCTTCTACATGTTCCACTTTTGTTCCTTGGATGGTTATCGTCGGTTGATCATCTTTATTCGACTTTAGCTTAGTTTTACTCAGATTCATTTTCAATCCTTTTTTTATAGATTCCGTATGAAGCTCATCGATCATCGTCTTCAGTTCTTTCCAGCTGTCGGCTATTAGTACTACGTTATCTGCATATCTTAAATGGTTTAAATACTTTCCATTTATCGATAGTCCCTTTGTTTCCCAATTTAGTAATTTAAAGATGTCTTCAAGTGCGGCAGTAAATAGTTTTGGAGATATGGTGTCTCCCTGTCTTACTCCTCGGTTGATTTTTATTGGCCTCGTTTTCATTCATACATATATTATGTATATACACACATTCATACATATATTATACATATATTATAATATCCTATATCTAGAATCTATTCTGCTGTTGGCCAGTGCTTTCTAAATAGCCCATAATTCTATGCTGTCAAAAGCTTTCTCGTAGTCTATAAATGCTAAACAGATTGGTAAATTGTATTCGTTAACTTTTTCTATTAGGACCTTTAGTGTGTGAAGATGATCACATATACTGAACTCTTTTCTAAATTCGGCTTGCTCTACTGGTTGATATACATCGAACTTTGTTGTCAATCTATTTGTAATTATTTTTGTGAATGTTTTATAAAGTTGTGATAGTAGTGATATTGGACGATAATTTTTCATTTTATGGGTAACCATATAAACGATCAATGAGATAATTCACATGATATTAAAAAACGCATAGAGTAGTCTAGAAGAGCTTTGTTTGTTCAAACGAACGATATTTTGAAGACCTACGATTTGCAAATAACAACCAAGTCTCACCTTGTTAGTTGCAGGATCTTCAGAACTTTTAATATTTCTAGTGGAATTTCATGAGGACCTGGCGCTTTACTAGTTTTCGAGTTTTTTACCACTATAGCTTACATTTTAAGGAAAAGTTCAAAGCAAAAAAGGTCTGGATAGATAAAGAATTTCTTCTTCTTCTTCTTCGTGCGACTACGATTACTCCTGTTTGTCTGCCTCTTATTCTGTTTCAGTCGTTGTTAAGTGTATATTATCTTTCCACCTTTTTGGCGGCCTTCCAACAGGTCTTCTGCCATACGGCTTGTTGTTTTTACAGATGTTCGCTAATCCATCTGGTCCCATTCGGTTTACATGTTCGTTCCAGTTTTTTTTCTTGTTTTTATCCACCTGTTAATATTTTGAATTTTTTGTTTGTCTGTCTGTTTGTTGTTTAGTCTTTCTTGTATCGGTCCTTGTCTCCACTACATATGTTAGGATTGGTCTATATTATCTTATATACTTTCATTTTGCTTTCCATGGTCAGATATTTGTTTCTTCATATGGTTTCTCGGAGGCAACTACTTACCCTTGCCGATTTTGATGCTTGCCTTGTGGTCTCTGTTCTTATATCCCTGTCACTAGTGATCACTACTCCTAGGTAATTGAATTTTGTGGCTCCATAATCTTAAAAAGTGGTTTTCACTACCTACTTCTTGATTATTTGGTGCAGCTGCAAATAAAGTGAAAATAATCATGTTGGTCGTCAACAAGTAGGGTTTTTTCAGCACTCCGCAGAAGACAGACTGAGCGGGGAAGTCCTCAACCACGACACGGCGTGTTTCATATGGCTGATAGCGGATGTCATGTATATTATACAGGATAGTTGCAAATAAGATTCGCCAAATAAGTACCCGCGGATCAACTGAGGATATGATATAGGGCAGCAGCTATGTCATCTCCAAGGCTGGGCTAATAGGCTTGGAATCAGATACTTATGGGCAACAATCATATATTGGTTTAATCGGTTACAATACTGCGGTGTGTAATGCAAGGAGAAACCAACACACTAAATATTCTTAGGAATATTCTAGGAAAACAAAAGGCCCCTAGTCCGTGGCAGGCCTTAGATGGTGAAGAGGTGCTAAGAATACCCACGACAAATGTTAGGAACCACCCGAAAATGGAAAACAAAAATTATAAGTTAAACATTGGAACTTGGAATGCAAAATCTCTCTTATCTAGGACATATTTACAGAGGAGAAAAATACAACTTCCTACGACTTATAACGGAAGGGAAAGTGGAAGGAAGAAGAGGTTCAGGAAGAAGAAAATGCTCCTGGTTGAAGAATGTAAGACACTGGACAGGCATGGACACACATTCGATACTAAGAACGGCTCAAGATAGAGAGCAATTTGCTGTAGTTATAGCCAATATTCAGTAATGCAGAAGGCACCCTAAGAAGAAGAGTCATCAATATATGTAGCCAATAAAGATCTTAGGAAGAAGAATATTATAGTAAAGCAAATGTTATATGTATTAGTTTCTAACTGAATAAAAAAAATCTGTGATTATTACCTGTACATGAGACCTCCCGTGCAGGACTCCAAAAGAGCTCCACCAAACACGCAAACATAATATTGAGTACAGTCGCTGGGATGAGGATAATAACCGAATTCTTCAGGACAATCGAAATTTACCCCAGTTTTTACGCTTGTAGCAATGGGAGCATTTCTAAATTTTCTCTCGGCTAAAATAGTTCCTGAAAAAAAAAATCAAGATTAGTTTGGTAAATAATAGAATCGAAAATTAGTAATAGATTATGATTAAGAATTAAAGACAGTTTCTTAGAATCGATTAACATTTCTAATTGTAAATTATTTTAGTTAATATTTACATTTTTGTGTGTTCAGACCTTTAACCAAAACATGCAGAATCGTAAAATTGTATAATAGCTCCAAAAAGTATTATTAAGCGAAATCGTGCAATAAAAATTGCACAAACTTGTGAAACTAAAGTATCATTTGGAGGGCTCAAAAGCCAATCAGTGTAAGTCATTTTTCACTAAAAATTGAGTTACGTATCGAAGATTCCTTCTTACAGTTCAAACTTTCTACAGGCAAAACGCCCAAGTCAATGCGTGACTTGGGTCAGAAATTTAGCGTCAGAAATAAACTGAAAAATTATCGGAAGTCAATTAGTGTAAGTCATCTCGGCGTGTCACAGTTTGATTTGAGTTGTACTTCACGCTTTTTATCGGTAATAATGAGTGAAAATACAGTTGATTTACCATTAGAACTAGAAGAAAATGATCCTTACTCCGATAGTGGATCTGAATATGTGCCTAACAATGGAAATAATTCATCTGATTCAAGTAAGTAACTTAACCTAAAAAGTCGGGAATAATTTTTTACGGAAATGTGGTTTATGCTTTTTCTGTTCACAATAGATTAAATGTTAAAATTATTACTAAAGGTAAACACGAAATAATTATTTTTATTATTATTGTGACTGAAATCATATTCAAAGAAAAAAAAATTGTTTTTGACTTACACGCTTTGACCACTGAAATTTGTTTCAGATGTTTCCAATTTACCTGCCGATGATCTTAGAGCAGAAAATATTGTGATTGAAAATGAAGGGGGCGTTATGGTAGAATCTTCGACAAAAGGGAGAAAGCGCAAAAGAAATCCAACAGAATGGACACGGACAGTCAACGCAGTTCGACGGTATAGTGGAAAAGCTTACGTGAACAGAAACCGGAAGAACATACCTGGCAAATCATTTAAAATGTTGATTGTAAATGTAGACTGTAACATTTGTTACAGGCTACATTTACAATCAACATTTTAACTTTGTTTTTCCAATATAACACTCGAAGAACGACAACTCATTTTTGACTCATTTTACAAGTTAGCTGACAATACAAAGCAGAACATTTATCTTCGAGGACTGATTCATAACAGCTCTGTTCAAAACCGTCGCTTCAGAAATGGATCAAGAGCGCCAAGATTAAAATCAGTAAAGTGTTACTTAACTACTACAGACTTGTCTATTCGTGTGCGTAAGAAATTTTTCAAAGATACCTTTCAAGTGAGTGAGGTTTGTACCTATAAACTGTCTTGTAGTACGAGGCCAGCTTCTTGCATAGACAAAAGACGTCACAAAGAACCAACCAATAAAATAGAAAGAACAAGGAACACATCAAATCATTTCCTTGCTATAAGAGCCTCTATACACTTTGTGATGCTCCAGATAGAAAATATTTAAATCCAGATTTAAATATTAGAAAGATGTATCAACTTTATAAAGAGAAATGTGAACAGGAAGGTTCAGAATCAGTCAAAGAAAACATGTACTATCATGTTTTCTCTCCAAATTTTAATCTTCACTTTAAACCTCCATCTAAAGATACCTGTCAGTTATGTAATTCTTTGTATAATACCATCAGATTTGGGAATAATGACGAAGATATACATAAAGCAAAAACCGATAAAGAAATTCATCTCAGAAAGGCAAAACTAGCGAGAGATTCGCTTAACAAAGATAAAAATTTAGCTGATGAAAACATTTATGTTCTTACATTCAATCTACAAAAAGCTTTACCTTTTCCCAAACTAAGCACATCTGTTGCTTATTACAAGATGAACTTATATGTTTACAATTTGGGAATTCATAGTTTTAACGACAATAAGGGGTACATTTTTATGTGGGACGAAACAGAGGGATCTCGAGGTTGACAAGAAGTTGCCTCTTGCCTGACAAAACATTTAAAAATGAATGCAAGAAATTGTGATAATATCATTTTGTATTCGGACTGCTGTACAGGCCAGAACCGTAATATTAAACTAAGTTTATCACTGCTCAAACTTGTACAAAACCCTGAAATGAAAGCTACTTCAATCGACCATAAATTTCTCACCTCAGGTCATAGCTACCTTCCGAATGATGCAGATTTTGGGGTTATTGAGACAAAGGCAAAGAAAAAAGTGTTTATTTATGGTCCTGAAGATTGGATTAATTTAGTTGCCACTGCTAAAAAGACTAATTCATTTCAAATAATTGAAATGAAACGTGAAGAATTTCTTTCGACAAGAATGTTGGAAAATAGCATCATTAATAGAAAAATCGATACTACAGGCGGAAAAGTTAATTGGTTGAACATAAAATGACTTAAATATTACAAAAATTAACCGGAATCTATTTTCTATAAAGAAACACTGCAAGAAGATTTTCCATTTAACGAGATAAACATGGCAAAAAAGTCCGGAAAGGGAAGACCACCTAAGTTCTTTAATATTGTTCAGGAGCAACTTTACCCAAATCGCAGACCTGTCAAAGACTTAAAAAAAAACACATGTTTGATTTGCTTTCTTACATTCCACCGCACTACCACGAATTTTATAAAAATTTGCCAGTAACACAAACGGCTAATCCTCGACTTTCAACTTCAATGATCGGCCAACTTGAGTTTAATAACGACAGTGAAGATTCGGTTAATTACATAGACTAATAATTTTGTCTTACCTTTTTTTTATTTTTTAGTTCAGTGGACACTTAGTATAAGTAATTTTTTCCTTGTTTAAAACGCATTAAAAAAGAAAAACGCTTTTCATTTTTATTAAATTTTCTTATATTTAAGTTTATTAGTATGTTACTTTATTTTCGTTATTTTATTACAAGTTAATTTTCTTCTTTAATGGAGGGCTTCTGAGCCCTCTATTTAACAGTGCTGATCGGAATATAGGTTCTTCAACCATAACCGGAGTTGGAAAAACCATTATGGACTTTTGAGATCGTTTTGTATACACAAATATATAATCTTAACAATACATAATCATACTCTAAATACATAAAAATCAATGCAGAAAAATAGTTAATGGTGTTCACATGTTCATATTAGGGAAAAAGTTATGCTAAAATTAAGCAGACTATTAAATAAAATTGCTTGTCTTCTATATTTGTGACTAGAAAGGAATTTTTAAAATCTTTGTTAATAGGGATTAATTAGTAACTTGTGCAATATCTCTGTTGTGTTTTTTAGATTCCTTTGAAACTGAAGACAGCAGTTTAATTCTTGATGATTCTAAGAACATTATAGTCTCAATGATGAAATCCATTTTTGATAGTAACTTTTCAGAAGTAGACCCCACATATCAGCCAAGTGAAAAGGTATCTCTCTCTCTAGGAAGTCTATAAGAATTAAAAATAGCTGACCTTGATAGCCTAAATGATGAGAAAGAAAATACTGAAATAGGTGCATCCAGGAACAATTTAGTAACTGAAATAGCTAGTTGGATATTAAATCTACTTCTTGACAAAGTATGGAAAGACGTGCGTCCATTAAAAGGTGGCAGAAAAGCTAACTCCAAAGATTGGGTAATAAATATCGCAAAAAGGAGGCGTGCTAAGGGTTTACCTTATGAGATCAAAAAAAAAAAGAACAGACCAGCAAAATTGTCAAAACTAGTTAACTGTTCAAAGTGCTTTTACAAATGTGCCAGTTATTTCAGCGAAGATTACAGAAAAAGACTATGTCGTGATTATTGGAAGTTAGAATTATAGGCCATAAAAATTTTCTTATTAACAGCGAAAACAAGGAACTCTTACAGAAGCATCGAAAACATCAATTTAAAGCCCTAAAAGCTGCAGTTACAACTGCGTGGCCCGATGACGGATAAATTCATTATAAACTTCTGTCAAGAGAAGAATGTTATTTTTATATCAGGCTTTTAAATGTTGAGTATCATAAAAATAACGAAATGTGTAACAGAATAATGTTCAACTGTTCCCATGGTTAACTGTTCGCATGACCATTTGCATAACTAATTGAATAATAGTATCGTAACCTATTTTCTTGACTATTGTTACCAATACTAGCAATAAATCTATTGTAACTTATTTAATGTATAACATAATATTTTTAATTAAGCTAAGAAAGTTCGATTTATTAGTTAATAGAAAAACAGAGAATCTCTGACGTCTAGATTAATGTTCTCATGGTTATGCAGTAGAAAATGGAACTTCCAATTAAGCTTTTAGTGCCAAGGTGATCGCTATTAATTAATAAACTTCAAAATATTATTATGCTTTTCAAAATTACGCATCATTAATAGAACCAAACGTTTTTATCAAAGTAAATCATACCATAATTTTGTATAAAGAGAGGTAGAAACTGTAAAATGTATGTATGCAAAACACTTCAAATTTTACAAAATGTTTTAAAGAGTTTCTACGCAATTGGATTAAGGCTTTTTATTTTTATATTCCAGTGACTTTACTTGGCGTTTAAGGAAGCTCATCCTGATTCAGCAGTGTCATTTATTAATGAGTTGCGATAGGGATTTCGCCTAAATTGAAAAGAAAAGCAAGAGGAGTATCTATGGATTTGGTAAGAATGATGACAACAGCTGTAAAGAAAACACCATTTCTTCTTACATTAATAAACCGTGAGAACTTCTTTGATTTTAAAGTTGCATCTGAAAGTTCAATCTGTACATCCAAGTTTCAAATTTCAAAAGCTCAATGGATCAACATTAACCGACAAAATCCGGGATTAGTTAAAATACGAGAAAGTCTGAATGAATTGGAAACTTAAAAATCAACAAAGGTGTTAAAGAGAAATGTTACAATTAAAACTAATGCAGAAATGACTCTTCCTAACTTGACCTGTCAGAGTAGAATTTCTGAAGAAAAAAACCAAAACTTGTTGGCAATGGTTCCCTATTTGTAGATAGAAAATAGAAAATTTTATGAAGACCT